CTCTCTCTCTCTCTCTCTCTCTCTCTCTCTCTCTCTCTCTCTCTCTCTCTCTCTCTCTCTCTCTCTCTCACGGTCAAATAACATCGACTCACCCCCACACCGCAGCCCCGCGCCACCGCTCCACAATCCCCGCAGCCCCGCCGCTCCACAATCCGCGCAGCCCCGCGCGATGTCCACTCCAACGTATCCCCGCGGTCGATCGCTCGGATAAACTCCCCTCCCCCCCGCACGGCACCCCCGCGCTACCCACGGCTGGAGCACGACTGGACCGCGCGTGTCCAGTCTCGCAGTCCCCTCGTTGTGCTGCGCCGCGCTCCAGTCATAGTCCGCGCCACGGTCCGCGCAGTCCGCAGTCGCCTCGTCCGATCCGACGCCCTCCACTCACACTCCGCACTCCAGTCCCGCCCCCCGATTCCCATTCGGCAACCGGCGCCGATTTTCCTTGGGCCCAGTGGGAAGCGTCACGCTGGGCCCTTTGTAGTCTTTAAAGACGAGTATAGGGATAAAGAAGAAAAGAACTGTGTTCTAAAGTTTGTTACATTGGGTGAAATTCCAACAAACCTGAATGGTACACGGAAGACTACGGTCTTCCCCCGAACACAATGCACCGCCATTTTGACTGTCAGGGTGCGTTATGTTCGGGGGAAGACGGTAGCATGAAAGAGAAAAGGAAACATAAACATGTGTTCCGCTGGCTGGCTTGCTCCGTAGCTCGTACTCAGTAATGGGTCACAAGTGGCTACCAATATGGAAGTGGCTGTCTGGCAAGCTGGATAATTAGTGCTTGACTGATTTCTGGATGTAATTGCAGTCAGATCCATACATGACGGGCCGTAATTGCGGTCATATACACCCAGGAAAGTGTTAGTGTTAGTGTTATTATGCTCTTAGTAAGTGCTAGTTGGCAATTGGTCTGACAGACTCTGACTAGTTGATTTTGTGCTTCAAGCAATGATTACCGGGTGGATTACTAAGCCCATTGCATTCTGGGTTTTGTAACTTTTGTCACAATGGACTGTTTTTGTCATCGTAACGATTCGTACGATCATAGATATTGGGGAAAGAATCTGAGCGACTTGCTGACAGCATCACGGGCTGCGAATCCGGGATGCAATCTGTCGATCAAGCTGAGGCAGTACCTGAGGCCCAAGTGTCATGCAATTTTTTACGATACGGTCATCAATTCACCATTGACGGCACGGCTCAATGTCTACCAGGCCTTTTTGCTCTGTGCAATGAAGTTCCATGCTCATGTCAAGGTGCTCTCTGCTGGAACTGAGAATAATCCTGCGTTCTTCTTCAAAGTGATAAGATGTGCATCTAGGTAAAGCAAGCTGTTACGCTCACGCCCAGACATATAATCTCTTGATCTTTGTGCAAATGAGATTGAAGTAAAGTAAGCCATTACTACTTTGGCTAAGAGGAATGATTTGTAAGTTGTAACCAACTGTGAATGTCTTCCAGAGCGAAGACCCGTGATGTTATTCTACAGGAAACACATCTCCCAGACTTGCCGATTCATTTGCAAAGAATGCAATGCAATTAATGATCAAGCTAAACGGACTCAGAAATTCAAGATATCTGCGACCGACATCTTGTCCCGCTATTAAAGCACAGACGGGGTCACCTATCCCAGAATTCACAATCTTCAGGTCTTAGACAATAGCTTCAGCTCAGCAAGACAAAACTTTGGGGTAGTCACTTGCATGGCTGAAAAGGGTGACATGCTGTGATCGTGATCAATTCACAATGCAAGACTCAACTTTGAGTGGACGGCCTTCCAGAGTGATCTGGCACCTTCTTTTCCAAATGGTCTATAGGGCATACTGACGCAGCAGAAGGGACTATTTCTTCTCGAATACTGACCATCTTGGCAGCAGCTCCCCCCCTGTGAGGAGTACTGTCAAGGACTCTGGAAAGTGCGTGTCCACGAGTCTCTCCCACCATTCCCTGGCTTTCTACCAGATTCCTTTTGCCTCCCTGCATGCTATTAGGCAATGGTCCATGGTCTCCCTGAGTCCTTCCTTACACACCACACATAATTCATTGTGAGGTGGTCTGTGTTCCTGACTTGTATGCAAGTTTTAACCACACGTTGACTGGCAGGGCTACGTAATAAATCAGCCACTGCATGCTCCGTACCCATCCCAGCCTGGTGGTAAGCATCTGTTCAGCTGGTACTCCGACCTTGTCTTCCCAGCACTTGGTTGATGTCTACTTCAGGGGGTAGGGTCTCAGCCTGAGCTTGTAACCCAGCCTGGAAGTATGTTGACCTTGCGAGATACGTTAAGTCGACCTCCTCTTAGGTTCCACGCCCACTCCGCTGGATCTATCTTCAGGTCCTCCACCTGAGTTGTCGGGCATAAAATTGTGAAGTCTTCTGTTTCCACCACCCTTATTTTCTTGAACTACCCCGGAAGGGCCCGGATTTAGTTGTTATCGGGGTTTTGGAGTCTTTGCTCAGAAGGCTTACTGTGGCCCCTGGCTGTTCAATGGTGTGGTAAGCCAGTCTTGCTGCGGTCCCACCCTCTGGTGCATCCGGAAAGCTATCGTTGGGGGGTGTTTGCTGCTTCTGCGTGGTCCAGTCCCCGTAGCCTCATTGTGGCCCCTTCTCCAGCAGGTTTTTCCATTCCAGTGGTATCGAGATTAACACGTCGTTGAGATTTTCAAGGACTCTGTGGTTCCCCTTCAGTTCCCTCCTTAGCTTCCTAGCTGTTTTCCATCTGCCTGCTTCTTCTGACCAAAGGTGTTTGATTTGCCATACTCCATACTCTACCCACGTTCCCCATTTCGAGTTGCGGGCCATTAACGTTCTGGGCTTGCCTCTCCCATCCTTTATCCCCGGGTTGGAGAAGAGCCGCCGTAGTAGGGGAACTGAAGGGCGGCAGTCACGAATCGATGACAGAGGAGGTACGCTGCTGCTTTCCTCCTTAACTTCGCTGTAGTCTGCGACTGTGGGATCCTGACTTACCCCGCGTCCCAGAGCATTGAGAACGCAGAGCCTTTCTGCTCTTTCTCAGAGGAACCCAAATCCGGGCTCGTTTCATTTTTTGAGAGTTGGCTGTCAAGGGGGGAAAGGGGGGGTATAAATTATTTTTAAAGGGGCTAAGAGGGGTTAAAGGGGGGTCCTTTAGTGTGATTTTGTTATTTTCTTTTTAATCTCCGATTCGGTGAGGAATTCTGATGTGACCCTCAGCCAAAAGTTGTTTGTATTGCAATTCTACACAACATAT